GTGATCCTGTGATTTTTGTATCAGTACACTCAAGTTACAAAGAAAATATCTCGAGCCCATTGAGTGCAAAAGGAAAGAAATTCTAAGAGACAATATCTACAGTGACAATATGGAAATAATCCAATTTGCTGCCCTCTTAAGTATAAACTAATTTTTAGAGCGTAATCTCTTTGCTCTACACCTTTCTGTGCTCTGGTTTGTTTTTTTTTTCTGTCACCACTGCAGTTCACCCAAATTTACAATGAACAAGAATTAAGGTTATGGGCCTGATTGAATATGGACTTCCTGCTTACTGCAGTGCAAGTGAAACACAAAAAGTATTTTGATTTATAGCATCTAAGAAGTTTTTGTCAGTTTTGCCCAAAGCCTTTCTGTACATTGAATTTAAAACAAAACTCACCATTAGTAGAAAAGTCTTCCTCCCACTTCCCTGCTGTAAGGAGACAGTCCTCCAGAGAAGGATGAAAATGGAGAAACAGCACATCTCACACTCTACAGACCCCTTAACAGCCAACTTCTGTGCTTTCCCTGAACAGGCCAAATCAGAGAAGATACTGAGGAGAGATTTAACAGAGTCAATCAGTGCTTTTCACAACATATGGTGTTGGATCCATCAATAGCTGTACAGGGCCCATGTTACAGGCCACCATTCTATTTGTCTGATGTTGTGAGTGGAAATGTAATCCCACACTCCTTTCACAGACTTCTGTGACAAGCTCTGTTACTACAGACTTTGAGTAAATAACTGTAAATTCCATTCTAAAATAAGTTACACTAACTTGTTTGCCTTAATTATAGATATAAAAATTCCCCATATTCATTGTTGGCCAGGTTATATTTACTGTATGCTGATACACGACTGATACTGCTTTATAAATAGACCCATTTTTGTGCATTTCACCTAAGATGTAAATTATACCATTGACAGTACCAACCCATTGGAAAGTTTCCAAATTATTTTGGTACACTACAATAACTGCTTTTTGCAGAGGCAAGAAGGAATGTTTTCAAAAAGTAGAAAGACTTTCTGTAAAGATTTTCTGATGTTCTTAAGTTTTCTGTGTTTTATTTACTGTTCACGTACTATGTGTTTGGATTCAGATGCTGGTTGGTGTCTCCTCCTTTCCTTTCTTTGGGAAAATTGCCCTATACATGGTAGAACACTTTCTGGTTTTCATTATCACTAAATTCAAAGGCTATCAGCTATTGTAGCCATTTATACTTATGAGCAGGTAATCAGAATAATCACTGGTTGGTAACAGTTCTTCAAGCAAAAGAACCTTCACTTGACTGATTTTTTTTTGGTGGTTGTAGTAGTAGAAGGATCGCATTTTTCCAGTGGTTTTTCAAGGACAGTTCAGTTCTTGCAGCTTTAATATGTAAGGAAATAATTTTGCATCCAACAAGAATGACAGTTTGTCTAAATAGAAAATAGATTATTTTTCCAAATCCACAAAAATGTTCAACAAATCATTGCTAGATCATGTGCAAGACTTGTCTTGCACAGTTGCAGCTACTGATGTTTGACTACTAAGATACATTTTGATACGGAAAATGGGTGCAGAAAGAGGTTACAGGTTTATATCCATATTTCTCATAGGTCAGGGAAAACAGTTGCTTTGAAAATCTAAAATGTGTTAAGAATTCATGAATGAAGGTTGACTTATCACTTTGTTTTCTTACTCTTAAAATAATCTCAGTCTATTCCAAAAAAATCCCAAACAAACCAAAAACCAAACCAACAACCCAACCCAGAAATAAACCACAAAAAATTGTTTTCCAATGAAATCTACAGACAAGTTACCTGAGCAAACCACGCTGTTAACAGAAACATAGCTAATTTTTGTCAATAACTTCATAAAACTTGGTGGAAATTTATGTTATATCTAGTCTTATAATCATAATATGAGATAAACTGTAACTTACTCTACAGAAAGATTGATTGCTTTCACAGAGATGTTACCTGGTTCATGATGTATGTGCTCTTGTAACTTCAATCCCTAGGTTAAGGTTATAGATGGTTAAAAGCAGCACTTAAAACAGATGAAGTTCTTCTGAGCCAAAAATGTTTCCGTCTTGATAAACACACTGGGACACCTGGAGAATACCAGCTATTATACCACATCAGAAGATAATCATAGTAAAGCTATAAGCTCTAATAATTAACGGGAAAAGATATAAAATAAAACTGATCATTTGACATTGCCATTTCATCTTATGCAGGACCACTGTTGAGACCAAGTTACACTCCAGAAAAAAATTATCTATTCCACAAAAATTAATATTAACTGAGTAACATTTTAAAGCATGGTAGTACCTAAAATTATTATGGCTCCTTCGTACCTTAGTCTAAAGAGTACCTAGAGGTAAGATTTCTTCAAGCTATTCATTGCTAAAATCTAGCCAACACAGTACTAGCTTCCATTTTCCACTTTCCCTGCACAGTACAGCATTTAGACTTAAGATTTAAGAGCACACTGGAAATACAGACTACTTAATGCAAGAACAAAACTTTCTGGTATGATCGCATGTTTATGTTGCATAAGATAATACAATCCATCTGTTGGGAAAATCCTTGCGGAATATTATATCTGCTTTAGCAATAAACATGAATAGAAATCAAGATTATTTTTAAAAATCCAAAACTGAGGAACAGTGAGCCTTACAAAGAAATATGTCTAGGAACCTGAGGCAAATTATACATGTTAATGTTGGAGTCACTGAGAACAGTTAACACAATGTAACCAAATGTCAACTGGAATATTTTGCAGTAACTGACTGAATATATGAAGAGGTCTGTGTTTAATGAATATATGAATGCTTGGTTTCTAAGTTTTCAGCTTCAGATGGCGAAGATTAAGTGCTAAGGGTGTTACTGTAAATGTTTAAGCGAGATGAACATCACTGATTTTCTAATTTTACCACATGGTTTATTTCAGAAGAAAACAAGCACCAGTTAACATAGTTCTCCTGCAAGTCAGTAAACAGTCACACACGAAAACTCAATACAATTTGCTTCTTTGTTTATGTGCAGGATATTTAGTTTGGTTTGCAAAGTATTAGAAGAATAATAAGAACCTCCTGACAGAATACCACAACTAAATTTCTCAAAAGCCACTCAGTTAATCTCAGTGTTGAATCTGGCTGTTTCAAATTATTGTAATGTATAATAACAGTCTTATTGACAATATAGATGCACAGAGCCAAAAAAAGCTAGAAATAGTGGCCAAAACGATGAACTAAGCGCCAGCCCAAATGACAACAAACATATGGCCATTAACTGAAGAATGGAGGGGTTTAGGAATGCAGCTGTCTGTGGTCTCCTAAAAGTTCCAGAGGAATGAAATGCTGTGAGGATTGGCAAAGTCTGGATGAGAAGTACTACTGAAGATGGTAGGGCCTTAAAATGGAGTCAACCAGCGGATCATGTTGGAATTCAGAGATTTCTGTGGTCAGAATATATTCATTCCATTGGCCTCATAATGTACATCAACAAATTAATATTGTATGGATGTCATTTCAAAGCCTACTGAAGACGAAGAGCCATTACTGAAGCCATTAGAGCACAGATGGTTCAAACTATATGCAGATATTCATACTTGCATTTCTGCATTATAGCAAGGGTTTTTTTCTGTTGAACTGTAATGAATTGTCTCATAATCTATTCCATCTTCTTGCCATTAGCAGGCTTTGAATGTTCACAAATAGGAGCAAAGAACTCATTTTCCAGAGCTTTAATCACACAAAGAGGGAATGCCTAATTCTCTAAATGAAATGGTCTGTGATCACTGAAGCAGAGATTTAATATATCACGGCAAATTAGGTAGATTTTAATAAATTACTTATCTCTCTGAATACTTTACATATGCTTATGAAGAAACATAGCCTGTTTGCAAACAGTGGAAATCCACAGTCTATAAAATCCTTTGAAGAAGATGACAAATAAAAAAGTAAATTAAAAAATGAAATGTATTATATCCTCGTTCTCGAGAGACAATCCTTTTTGCAGCATTGATTCACAGCTCCATTAAAAATATCAATTAAATCCTTCACTGAGATTGGTTAAAAGCTGTAAAATTAACTTTCCATGCTAGACACTGGTTATTCAGATACAACGATTTATTGTATATGTTCGATGTAAGTTCTAAAAGTGACAAAACCCAAATGAAAACACAGTTGCCCGTCCCTACAGTTCAAAGTAGGTGAAGCAAAATCTCACACTTTGGCTTCTTTTTGTGCTTTGACAGATGTTGGCTGAAAGTAAATCTTCTACTGCACAGAAAATGATTGTGCCTGCCCTCCCCCTACTTCAAATTATGGTAACCATAAACAGCTGATTATAATGTTAGTAGAAGGGTAAAAGTTATTTAAAAAAGGTTGCAGTAATTTAATAAGTCCTGCAACTAGCCTAATTTTTTATATTTAATTGATAGGAACTGCATGCATCAAAGAAAACACATACTGAGATTTAATGTGCATAAAATGGATATTAGCATTTTAAAGAGGCAGATTAACACATTAATCCAAGTAATTTTCATATATTGCTTTTAATAAAATCTTCACAGTATAAAATTCTTAATGAGGCTAATCACAGGCATTCCATTTAGCGGGGTGATTAGGGATAACATAAAAGTATTTTTAATCAGTTTTCTAAGGCTTATGGTTTTTTTATTAAAAATTAAAATTTTGACTTGCATTTTTATTACTGTTTTATGTAGGAAAAAAATCTTGAAAATGCAAATAAAGCCCATCATTCAATCATGTAGGTATTAATTATTTACAAGGCGTTGTCCATTGTGGAGAGATTCTTAGCCTTAGGGGGGAAATATAAAAACAAACAGACTGAAAAGTATACAAAACTTTACAACTACAAATCAAGCGTCCTTTCCACATGAATTATACATTAAATATACTGTAAGAATTACAAAGATCTCATCTTTGATGCGCTATCAAGCCTGTATTTACACTGGGAGAGGGAACTTCTGTAGGCGAAGTTCCTTTCATGCCTCGCAGTGGTCTTTGCACTCCTCGCAGACAGCGCGGCACGTGGAGGGACCTCCACGGCTACTGTGAGCTCCCCAATTACTGCACCATCACCTCGTGAATCAAAAACTAGAAAGGGAACATCACAAAACAGCATTAGCGATTTCATTTAAGGTTTTGCTTAAGGTTTCTGTGGCGTTTGGACGGATGAAAAGGCACCTGGCACACGCAGAGGAGAAAATAAATAAATAATAGAGGAATCTTCCAGTTCAGGTATTTAGCCTACTGGAAACTGAACACTCTAAGAACTAGAATGTACATCAATTAAAGTGCAAGAATTACCTTTTAAATAAAGAAAACTATTGGTATAATAATTGCCTATATGTAAATATGAGATGTGGCAATATGTAAATTCAAACTCTACTGAAAACATACATGCATATTTATAAATAGTTTTAAATAAAAACATACCTATTAATGCATTTCCTACAGTGTGTAGGACAGGTCCAAATCAGCCTGGACACTTACTAGTATTTAAAAAGTAATTGTTTTTTCCAGCTGGTGCAATGCAAAATTATTTAAATTACAAGCTTCTATGTGTTGCAAAATAGTGAGGTATAAACAAAGGTGGTAATTCCTCTAGACTAAACTATTTGACTACAGTAATCTTTGTGTATGTGGGTTTTAAAGTAGTATTTTAAATTTCTATTTTACAGAAATTAGCTGACATGATTTGAAATTGCACTCTTTTACAATATCTAAGTAAGCCCAGAGGGCCAGAATCTCTGCTGCTGTGATTAAAACATGCTGCTAAGTCAAAAATGAGGCTCTTTCCCAGTCCTGCATAAAAAGCAATGAGGCTGCCTAACATGACTCTAGAAGGAATTTGAATAAAAACAAATAATCTTGACAGCATATTTTTTTCAAAGCAAATTATACAGCTGACAAATGGCAAGGTTATGTTTTTAGTACATAAACTGGGTTAAGTACTCTGGGACACGCAATGATGCTGCGTGGTACAATTTCTAGGCTGCTGGGACAGCTCTGAAGTGGTTTAGAGAAGAAAAAAACATGGGATAAACCTTCCATCATTTACTCTGTTGAAAGAGCTATTATAGGACAGATTGGATGCTAATCTTAGAGATCCAAACCACTTTGTAAAACCTTGAACAAATCACTCAATGAACTGTCAACTTCAAGAGCAGACTTCAGGGGACAGTACTGTTTTCACTTATAAGAACAGGGTAACTGTAATTACTGATATCTGAACATTAATTCTATTTTCTCAGTTTTCATGTTGTCATCCTATCTCTGAGCCATATTGTTAGATATCTTGACTACAGTGTTTTTCACTCATCCTCTTGCTAAGTCATTCGCTTAATCGCTTCAAATTTCATGGAGGCCACTTTCACACAATCAGCAATGAAAGGAACAAGACATAAAAAAGATATGTGCTTGGAGTCTCAAAAAGAATGAAGGACATTTATGTACCTAAGAATGACTGTATCTTCATGTGGTAGTGTCCTATGAATTTCCCTGTGTCTAGGTTTATTCTTCTTCCCTCAAACCAAAATCCACCTCAGAGAATGTGTACAATATTACTTAGGAATTCTATTTATTGTGCCATTACATTTAAATGAAGTCTGTATCCAGATCTCAAGAACAGATCCTTTTACAATGCCTTTGTCCAAGAAAATACACTGACATGTTCTTTTGTCATGATCTGATATATATAAACGTCAAATTAATTTCAATTCTCTGAAAGTTCTAAATTTTCAAAAATATGCTATGATATATGTCATAGATGCAACAGAATCTTCCCTGGCACCTGCAGGGAAGGGCAGAAGTGTGGAGAAGAAAAAGAATAAAAGTATTTCTAGCTATTATTATCCCTTTCACGGATATAATGTACACAAACTAAAAATTAGTTAAAATGTCTTCTGATTAGGGGAAGAAATCCTCCTCACAATATTGAAGCAGTTGTCATTGCATACTAATGATTAGCTTTTAACAGAACAATAACTAGTAACAAAAACCAGTCCTTCCTGTAATAATAATTTTCTCAGATGATGATGAGGACTTTTATGAGTTTTGTGAAAGGTGACTTTCAAAGGTAAAAAATTATATTAATATCACTAATCAATCTTATCAAATAGGAATTATGACCATGGGAATTATGGACATAAACTACAGAACAAAAACAATCTTCCAGTGAGAGACTACAAGATACCTTTGGAGGAGATGCGTTTTTGTACAATACTTGGAGAAAAATTATTGCTGGAGAAAAGCTTAAGTGGTTCAGCCACAGTAAGAAGTGCATCAAATCTGTATACTATTTTTCCAGGGTATGGAGATTTGATTCTTTGCATTTTCCTTATCATGCTCCTGAAACTTCGATGCATACTTTTAGTATTTTAGCTACAGCACGGATGCAAATCATGCATGATAATGGGAATGGATAAGAAAGCTTTTTTCTTTCCCTCACTACTCAGCTCCCCGTTGCTCAAGGTACAGAAATTAGACACAGCAGAAGAAGTAGCAAAGTCACATTAGCCTGGCATTCCACTAGGGCTGACTGGAATTCTGGCTATTGCAAAGGGTACCTTGTGTGCTCTGCATCCACTATCGGGCTGGCTCCTGGACTGGCAGAGAAGAGGGACTATTTGTAACAGATTTACTCTCTTCACCGAGCTTTACCACAGCAGGGAAAGAGGGTTGAGACAAAGAGGTAGGAGAAAAATGCACACTGGTAACCACGTCCCTGCTACCACGGGGAACAAGAAGCCCTAAGCAAGGACAACATTTTCCTTCAGTGTCTATGAAAGCACCAAGTAGCCTTCTGGAGTCTTACCAGTGTTACAAAAATGATCCTACAGCCCAGGAAATGGAAGATTCCACACCTCCTGCTCATCTCACCTTGCTTTAATGGGTCACAGTGAAGGTTTGGCCACAGTCCCTTTCAGAAGGGTGTTCACTCTAAACTGACACCTTACCAAACCCACCAATATTTCATCCTGTCTGGCAAACAGGATTCATATGGAGGACACAAGCTGGAGGTACTCTGGGAGTTATAGCTCTGAATAAGATATAGACTTTAACAATACAGAATTACTGACATAAATTTTAATAAAAATACATTTTTATAGTCCCATTCCAATGAAGCATGATGTACAAAATAGAGAATTACAGCAAGTGGACATGTCCAGAAAGTTCTTAGGTTTTTTGAACGAAATACTATAAGCTGGGAATGCTCTTTGGCTTTGGTTTGTAAACATATTTCAAGGAGGAACAGTAGCAGGCATTTTTTGCAGACTTTTGCAAACGAATGTGGAAGTCATTAGTTAGTATTAAAGAATTTCTTATTGACAAAACGTCAAACAATTGCTTTCATAGTAACCCTTGCAGAGAAAAGTAGAAATTCAACAAGTAATTTTTAAGCTACAGAAGTTTACAAGAAACTGATCTTTAAAACTTACCATCAATGTCTTGTTCAATGATATTTCTTTGCTTCTGGAACATCTCTTTCAAACTGATCAGAGCAAACCCAGTATCTTCACATTCAAGATCCTGTTCATCTTCTGGGGGATCACTGACCACATAAATTTTAGGATAAACAAAAAACCAAAAAAAACCCAAACAAAACAAAAAAACAAGGAGGAAAAAAGATATTTTTCCTTCAAAAAGGGTTGAAAATCAATTCTAAAACCAGAAAAAAAGGCAACACCACATTCTATTTTATGAGTGGAACACAAATAAGAACTCTCTATCAAGTAAATTCAACATTTTCCATGACAAGAATAGTCTAAGACCCCCTTTTTTAAATCCTCCCTTTTTCTTCAGCATTATTTAGCTGTAATAGAAGGACAGAGAGGTTTAATCACAGAAATGTTCCATTTTTCTTTCCCCTCCCCACCACGCTATGGTACAATTCTTGTTCATATGACCATACAAGAAACTATATAAAATATATGCTTTTCTCTCACGAACTTAAATTACACCCATTGCATCCAAGGACGGCTTTCCTTTTAAACACATAACTCCAGTACTGTGTTGGAGCTGCCTTGAGTTAGTGGCTTGTGCAGGGGCCAAAAACACTGAGACTGACAAAATGACAGGAATTTAGAACTAATATTTGGAATGTCTTGGGAATGCTGTTCAAACTGTGAGTGTTTGTGAGCTTTACAGCCTAAAAATGTTACAATAAGCATAATTTCAAATGGGTAGCAATCAAGTTGTGTAACATCCAAGTCTAAGGGAAAGGATATGTTAGACAAAATACAATCAAATCTTCCTCAAAAGACTTTAAACACAACAACTACTACAATTATGTTTTTATAGTTTATTTTGGTGCTTGTCTCTCACTAACAAATATTTATCATAGAAAATATATATACATGTAAATATTTGTCACTAAACCCAGTCACCTACTGAAAATATGAAAATATTTTAAAAAATTTTCTGGAGGCAAAGAAAGGAAAACTATCACAGCCACTTGCAACAGCAGGTGTCTTCACTGAATATAATTCACTTAACTTGAGATTTTGGCACAGAGCTAAGCAGCAGCAAAACTGCCCAAACCTAATCAAAAAGAAAGAAATACTTAGATGTGCAAGATAAATATTAACTTGAATAAAAACAAGTTAAAAATTGTAAGAACAATTTGATAAAACTGTTGGGTTTTGGGAACAGATCTGTTTTGTTATGATTCAGTGTCAACGTTAATCTCTTGGGGAAACCAGCGTGGCAGTTAAGACAGTGACAGAAGAGATTCATGCTGAATTAACTTTTATCACTTAAGGGTACCAACTATTACCAAAATTTTCACTAAAACATAAATTAAAAGCAGGCCTAGTAAAAATTGAGACAGCATCTTACAGCCAAAGGGGAGTGTCATTCATACAGACCCACCCTGTGGTTCAGATCAAACACAGGTATTTTACATGAATAGGTCAAGCTTCAATAAAACAGATGAAAATAACAGCCCCTCTAACACCACATAGTTCCAATATGCTTAAAAGATGATATTGGATTAAATCTTTGCTGCTAAGCAGGAAGGAGGAGTTTTGCACTCTGGATTTCACGGGAATACTCCAACTAGACTCCAAGAATGGTACCACAATCACCTTGGGTTTTGTACTTCTAAAAAACATTCCAAAAGGTTTGAGAGAATATTTAAATATGATATTTGGCATGCTTTAACTTGTCTTCTTAATTTACCAAAAATTGCAAGAGCTCTCTTTTCAGGCTCAATGGCTTAAAAAGACACAGTTTAAACTGCCTGAGAATCTACTTTGATGGGAGTTGGTATACCAAATTTACACAAGGATTTCTTACTATGGATAGTGTTCCTCTCCCATACTTCTCTCAAGAATCCTAGATTTTCTCTCTAGCTGATTTCCACATTTCATTTCTGTAACACCAGTTTCTCACTTCCATGCAGGTATCCCAAACTTACTGACAGAATGAGAAGAAATTTTGACATGCTGGTAAAAGCACCATGTGGGAAGACGTTCGCTAGCCACTGGAAGAAAGACTAGAGAACTAAATGAAACTTGTCTGGCTAATGAAAAGTGAAAAAATTAGAAGTGCCTTTAACTTAAAATGTGTTTTACAGTGAAGCAGAAAAGCCTGGACAATTAGTTATTATTGTTTTTAGGATAACACTTAAAGGCATTCTCACCAGCAGGTAATTTAGAGTGACTGGACAAAAGTTCTTACGTAGGCAAATTTGATTCTAATTTTTTTTATCCCGGAGATCAGCCATTTTTTGAGCAGGAAGGAGAAAACTCTGTGTGTCAATGTTGCATATTAATGTGAAGCTAATGACTGTACACGTGCTCTACTCCCCTGTAACATGGATGCATAGATTTTCTTGGGAGAACAATGACTTCATATAGTGTGTTTCCTGGAATAACAATCATTCCCCACCAAGAAATGATGCACCTGTCAGGATCAGCCTGGAAACCTCTTGCATAAAGCTGTTCACTCTTGTTATCACAGCAGGGTGACTGTTAGACACACGGATTCCTCCACTCCTCACATATGTCTCTCCTGACACTTGTCAGAAGAGCACACACTCTACCTCCAGGTCTGCAAGCATTTCAGCTACAGGCTGGCATGAGGAATCAGGTAACTTTCTCTACAGGACCAACATTTCTACACTCTTAAAATGCTGAAAGATTAGAGTGGAAGAATAAAAAATAACTGCGACACAGTTAAATGGACTGCCAGAAATGTGTCCTTTTAACTGATTTAAAGACTTGAACATGTAATGACAGGGTTCAGATGCTGAAATAATAATTTTATGTCCTTTTTTTATCCCAAACTTTTTACAAATATTAGCAAGTATAGCTTCCTAAAATAAATGAAGAATTTGAATCTCTATTATACAGAAAAAGAAACAAACCAAAAAGGCTTCCTCTGTCACACATTATAGCTATAAGAAAAAGCAAGTGTTCTGACAAAACCTCCCTAATAATGATAGAGACAATGACTGTCTGAAAGCATAAAGATGCTTGTCAAAAGAACTACACTCATATATTTTACATAACTCTATTTAACAGCATATATTCTTATATTTTCTGTCACTATTTGTTCAAATACGGAACCAAATTCAACATTTCTAATAAACACTTAAAGTGATTCCATATCAATAACTGAAAGAAGAGAAAAATCAACTTTGTTTTGAAATCTTATCTTTAAATGTACAGTAAACTCCACTCCAAATAAATTTTAGATTGGATATTAGAAAAAAATTAGTTACTGAAAGAGTTGTCAAGCCCTGGAATTGGCTGAGTCACCAACCCTGGAGGTATTTCAAAGTGTAAATGGGGCACTTGGGGACATGGTTCAGTGGTGGAACTGGCAGTGCTGGGGTATTGGTTGGATTTTGTGACTCTAAAGTTCTCTCATCTAAATGATTTCAGGATTCTATAAAATAAACATACTTTCCTGTGTAAATGCCATGTCAATCTACATTTATTTACTTGCAAGTATAAACTAAAAGAGTATAAAGCTGTGAAATTCTTTATTTTCATGGTCAAATTGGCTCTGTTTCAACTACAGAATTAGGCTATAGTTGCAACTCTGGCTTAGCAGTAATTTTGTCTTAGCAGTAATTTTATGTATTATATTAATGTATCTTTTAACACCTGAGAATATTTATCTTTCTCAAGAGATTCATTAAAGTGACTCTGCTTTTGGAAGACTAACCAGCATGTGGCAAGTCTATTTATTTATGTTCCAATATGTATCCAATCATTATAAGTATTGTTTCTAACAACATTCTTTGTGATAGGAAAAAAAAATTAATTAATACACTAATTAATATACATAATACACTGTCTATGCTCAATAATCTGGCATAGCACAAACACTAATAAAGTGTCAGGCTCAACCATCTGCAGGCAATTTTCAATGATATTTATATCCTTGATAATTTGGTTTCCTGAGCTTTAAAGCATTAGTTTAGCTGAGTTCCTGTTTCAGCTGAAAAAGCTCTGATACTAGTTTGTAAAGCTTGTGATAGAAAACACGTGTTGATATAACTAGGCTAGGTTTAAAATGCATAGATTTGGAAACTTGTGGTGTAAGAGCAGAATCTTTTCATAAATTTTGTTTCTTGGTGGTCCTTGCTAGGATAAAGTGGGGAACTGGACTACTGCTGAAATTCCTGCCTTCCTGTTTACTCATGACAGAATTGAAACTTCACGACAGGCCAAACCAGACACACCAATAACTGCAGAAAACAACCTACCTGGTAACCCAGAGGACAGGACCATGATGGCACATGTAGAGGGTGAATGTGTCTGGTCAGAGAAAAAGCTTACTTACCTTCTTTTACCTTAGGTTTGTAAAATATTTAGTACAGATATGTAAGTATTTATAGGAGAAATTGCAGCACACAGATTAGCTATTTGCTGAATTATCCCTCATGAACCACCAAAAAAAAAGAAAAAAAGAAAAAAGAGGAAAAAAAAGAAAAAAAGAAAAAAAAAAGAAAAAAAGAGTATTTTATTCTCAATATTCTCAAATCTTAGCAGAATGTGTTTTAGTAGAATGTTACCCACTTTCCTAATCCACATGGTAAAGCAAGTCTTCTCCTTGCTTATTAAATGATTTTTTAAATTTTTTTTTTTTTAAATCTCCAAACTTAAGAATGTTTTGGTATCATATTTCCATCCCAACAAGTAATCATTTCATGGTGTTCCCTGCTCCATTCCAGTAAAACCTGTTTTCTGGCCAAAACATGAATCTCAGCTACAGAACGGAAATGAAATGAAATGAAGAGAGATCGCTCTCTTCCTAACTGCAGAGTGAATCCGTGATTTGTGGATAAACACATATTTCAAAGATTTACAAGTAACTCCAACACTTCAAATACTATCAGCAGGTATCCTACTCTTCTGTGAATTAAATCAGTCTTTGATTTAATAATTATTCCATTCTTTAAGAGAAAACAGGATCAAAGGATGTCACTCATTCTTTCAAAGTAATGCATATACGCTATTGCAATCAAAAAAAATTGAATATGAAAAAAATTATTATTGAAATTGAACAAGACTAATTTATACTCTTTCCCATATGTATCCATATAATAGCTACATCTGTGTGTATATATATATATATATTTTTTTTTTTTTTAGAAATTCTAGGGCCAAAGAACACTTTCTGCAGCTCTTAGTCTCCTTTTAGTACTCTGAATTCAGAAAGCAATGAATGTACTACACTACATGGGGTAGAAATGTACTTTTCAAATTCATTAGTGATAGAACACTGATGATAGAATCTCCCTTTTGCAAAATAAAATTGTTAAAAGCGAGAGAAGCAAACAAACAAACTCCCAAACCACAGCACTAAACCAACATTAAGTGAGGCTGCAATCTTCCACGCCACATGAACATATTCAGGGAAGAAATAAGATTAGAACACAGGTATTGTTCCTAGCTGAAACAACTTTTTTTTTCTAATTAGTTACTTAGGCAGGTATTAACTTCTCAGGGATACCTTCTCAACAGAGACAAACAACAAGGCAAACCACCATCATCATTTACAAAGACCTATAACAGTTTTTCAGCACTAACATGTACCTGTCAGTGTGCTGATCTGGCTTTAGAAGAACAGAATTGAGATACTCTTTTCCTGCACAATTATCTGCCTGAGCCACATTTAGCACTGCAACGCAAAGCAGAATTAATATCAGTATCAATTGTTTTTCACCTTTTAGAAGAAAGAACATGAGGAAAAGAACAAAGAAAAAATAAACATTTCTTTCTTTTTTCTAAGGAAAAGCAGCAATGTTAGAATCAAATTTGAAAGGTCATGTGATCTAATGGTGTGTCACTGGCAGGTTTATGTGCACACTGTCAAAAAAGATACAAGCAGCATCTAAGCATGCCACACAGCTGTCACTTTCTGTTAATGGCAATAGCAGTCATGATTTTAAAAGCCACTGGTCTTTATTGCTTTGTATTTGAAGTGATTTGCTGCGTTTTCTTCCACTGAGGAAGCTAGTGATAATGATAATGTATGGCAGAGTGCTTGTCCTTTTTGACAGCCTCAGTAATTTAATCCCCCTTTCCTGCCACAATATTTCAATAAGAGAAACCTCTAGACCAATGGACTGGAGAAAATCCACAGCCTGGGGAGTGTGTGCGAGCGCTCTGAAAGCCTCTCATTGTTTTAATTTAAAATACAAACACAAGGATCAGCTTTTAATTTTTGGACTATTAAGATGACCCACAGTGAAAGTTAGCCTTGGTTTGGAAAACATACTAAAAGAATGAGAAACATGGTTTTAAGAAATTCTTCAAGAAGTTTTGGGGCATCTTATATTAAGAAAGTAGCAGATTTCTTGCAAATGGTATCAGTCTGCAAGTATCAATACACTACAGTGAAAGGGTTTAAAAACTGAAATAGCGTTGAATTAATTTTAATCTTTTTTTAAAGAAAGAAATGTAAATGAAAAAGTTTTGATAGGACAAAACTAGAATCAATATAACCCTCTAAGAATCAAACATAGCTCTTCATTTGTTTTCATTTGTTTTTGAGGGGAGGAGGTGTAGTTAGAAATTTGTCTGTCATTAAATTCCAACATTTGTCATATTCCCTCTCTTCTAGTTACTTCTCACTGTACCCCCGAGATTTTTGTCACTCTCCACATCACATTAAGGTTTCCTTTTCCTGTGCACTGAGAGAAATCTTTAATGTATTTCACTGTCCAAAATAAACTTATTTGTATAAAAAGAAAGTACCAATTCTACCAAGGAGCTGAGTATTGGAATGCAGCAGCATGAGCAGACATAAAGAAGGCCTCAACTCCTTGCAGAGGGATTCACTGAAGGACATATCTCTATTTCTCACCTTTCAGAGCTATTGCTTTTCCAGTTTTCTCCAAAGCTGCTCCTCGGCTCTTGGCCATCAGAACTGCTCCTAGGAATGGGTTACTATCAGAAAACAGCCAGTCCAGTTGCTGAGTCATTCAGTCAAAGGAATCTGCAATTTGCCACCTTTTTCTTTACTAACAGAAAGCAAAGCATTGGTGTTTTACCTTTGAATCCTTAGTTTCCACCTCACAATTTCTTTCTTAGGTTAAAAGAAGCTGTTATTGTCATCTGCTATTCTTCTGGACATGTGGATGACTTTCCACATGTGCTGCTCTCATGGCCAAGTGCTCCTGGGGCCACCACAGGAAGCGATGGGGAGGCAGCAGGGAGACAGATGGACAGCCAGAGAACTTCAAAGGAAATGCCACATCAACAGATTCTTCCCTTTCCCAGAAGCATTCCAAATGGAATTTCCTAAGTTTACTAATTCTGTATCTAAAACAATTTTAAATGGAAATTATTTACAAATCCAAAGAGTTCAAATTCATTTCACTCAATGGAAAAATTCAGACTTGTACGTAACACATTAGGCACAAGAACTCCATTCAAGTCTGGGGAAAATGATTAACCATAGTGAAAATACATTTTTAGATCCTGATGAATAACATGCTTTCATATCACCTAGAGTACTGCCTGAACTTAGAATCACAACATAGCTCCAAGGCATGGAACATCTTGTGTTTCTATCCAATTAATTGCAAAAATAATTCAAAATTAACTTGTGACAGTTTGCATCTGAGATTATAAAGTTACTCCTAAAGTACTAAAAGGTGAAGATTACATTGACCCTGGAAACTTGTCAGAAATCTTTGCAATTCAAAACTTTAACACAGCTGTTCTGTTATATTTTTTTCATAGTTCACATTCTATAAAACAGCTCTGTGATGAAGCAGTTTCATCACAGTGAAGAAAAAGATGTTTCACAATGTGGAGCTTTAATGGAAAAAAGGAATAAACACACAGAAATATAACGTTTTCTGATGCAAAGCCTTAACATTTGAGTTATACTGAAGAATCCACCTCTTCAGAAGTTTATTTTTAATAAAAAATACACCCCATCGTCTTCCCCTCACCTCGCGTTCTTTTGGTCTACTTGCACTTCAAGTTATTCAAAGAGCCACCCCATTCACTTAAGAGAGAAAAGCTGTCAAGAAAAGAAAGCTTTCCAATTAAATTTCAAATAAATTCTTTGCAGAAGTTCATAGGTCTTTCTTCTACTTCCATTGCCTGTTCTCTGTAACTACTCTATACAGTGATAAGAACACACTTCAGCCTTCTATCAGTCTTGTTTTCTAGTAATTTTCTTGCCATCTCAGCATTTTCACATTTAAGTCTTTTTATTGAATAAAATAAGAACGTTTTTTATTAGCAGCATTTATGAACTAACCATAGCTTCATCATTTAATTAATTGTGGCCCTGACAAGAAAAATGTTTATTTTACTGAAATTAACAGTCAAGCATCAATAGATGCATTTATATGTGTGGGAGACTGGGCTTTGTTTGCTCAGACTAACATGTTTCCTTATGATTTTCTGAATGTGAAACTGCCACTACTTTAAAGACTATATGGTGACTTGATTGGAAAATTTCTGGCACACAATTTTAAACTGAATTGAAAAGTTTAAATATCAGTTAATTGCCTAATGTGATAACTAACACCATTTAACATCAACACAACACTGTGCCAAAACAAATCCCAGCCAAAACAAACACACAGCTCCTCAGTCAGTGTGGTCAGCAGTAGATACAACACTTTATGTCACGGGAAATCAAGGGGTCTGCAGTGCAATCCCACAGTGCATAAACTTCCCCATTCAAGTTGCTGTTCCAAGACCTTGGAAGAAAGAAAATGAACTTCTAACCATTCATAGTGAAAAAGTCACAGTAGAAAAATCCCAGTTTATGTCACATTACATGCTTGAACCACCTGTGAAAACGGGAATTTGTGGGGTCCTGTATGTCCAGATCAATGGAGCTTTATTATATTGTTTCTCAACGAGATTTCCTGTATCTTCTGGTATCTCACAGGTCAGGCAACAACAGCAAAGAACGTGCAAAAGGCATGGAAAAACTTAAAATGTTTTTTAAGCAGTGAATCTCACAGAGCCTTCTGTATCAGCTAAGATGATTTGAAAACAGTCAAGCTGTTCCAGTTATAGATAATATAAAATGCTTTTTTATTATATAAGAATTAGTGATTTTTTAGATTACTTATAGACTTACTCTGATTTTCTCCATGCAGAAGTCTAAAAGACTATTAGGTTCCTTCTAAGCTCAAAGTAAATTTCTTTCTACCCATGCAAATCTCATTTTTATTAAAGAAAATATTCAATTAACCTCAAATATTCAGCATACTCAAATCTAATTAGACATGAATAAGAGATGCAGCAAAGCTATAGTAAACACACATGCAGATTTCATTACTATTATCTTACTGGCTTCTCAACTGGCTTTATCAAAAAGCAGACTCATTAGTTTTTTTTCTCCCGTGTATGCAAAGCTAATCTTGAGCAGAAATTAGATGACCAATCATCCAAGCAAACCTCTGCAAATAACAACCCTATTAGTATTACGCTGCAGAATACAATCCTGAAGCAATTAAGACCAAAAAACACTTCTTGATAGTGATTTGTTAGGATATTTGGAAGTTTAAACAGTTCTGTAATTGATACTTAAGCAGCAAACAGAAATCTCGAAGTTATGAAGCCAGGTTATGATTAACAGAAATAATACAATACAGCACTTTGGAAAGCCTTTTGAGTCACAGTCTCTACAATACAATAGCACAACATTATTTTCATATAAGGCAGCTTGAAATGTACTGAAATTTCATAATTGTCTGAAAAATCTGAAATCTTATTCTGTATTCATCATAACTTTGCTGTATTTTGCTAGTTTAACTTTGCAGAGTAAATACGTAGAAAACTAATGCTATGCTTACACCACTGATTATTATAACCAAAGAAATTAGAATTCAAGATGCAAGAGAAATCAAAAGCATTAAAAAGCTTTTATTTGCTTATGTTATTATTTCAATGAGGTTTTAAAACAATTATTTCAGCTGTCTGCATACCTAGAACTTTTAGAAGTGTTTACAGAAGCCAGTAAGATAAATACTGTTCAGATCATAAAAAGCTATAATTTATGTAATGTCTTATTTACTCCATGATGCCAGAAATCCCATTCATTGGAATGGGAGCAGCCTCAGCAAATGAAAGACATTGCAGCACTATTAATTTTTGTGGGTTTGTTTTTCTTCCCTAAAACCTTATAAAGACCACCATCCTCAGACTCACCAAAGTTAATATTTGTGCCCGCTCCTCTACTGTCCCTCTCAAACGGGCAGTTCCACTACAGCAACAGTTGATGATCATTGTCTATGAGGGATTTCAGTCTTCAACTACAGGATAATCCAATAGTTTATAAGTATTGGGAGGATCTAAACGAGGGAATTCTTTGGCAAGTCACATTCTCAAATCAGGTTTATAGATGGTACCAGTTTTAAAGATCTATGACACCACTTTTGCAAAGCCACTTTTACAAAATTATTTTTAAAAGAATGTTTAAATTGAAAGTCTGGCAATTGGTTTGTCACAAATAGCAAACTGATTCACCTGCTGCAGGACACTCTCTGATAAAAGTCCAAGACAACTTGAAGCACTCAGACTGAATCTTAAATGAAACAGACTTTAACAGAAAAAAAAGTCAGTCAATAATTGAAATACTATGAAATAGCACGGAAAATATTATGTTTTCTTATTACAGACATTCTTATATGTAACATGCTCTATTAAATATGGATAAATATGGATAATTTCCCATTTTAAAAAGTTCTTATTAGAAGAACAGTGAGTATTTGCAAGTGGTGATCAAGTCCAATTACAAATTTTCTCTTTCCAATGGTATTTTAGTTGTACGTGGTTGATAGGATGTTTTTCTTTTGTTGTATCATGTACCAATAGAAAAATTAGTTCATGATGCTCTTTTAAAAAGAATGCATATATTTTAGTTACGTACAACCTAATTTTAAAATGTAAGTGCTCCCAGCATATTTAAATTTATTGTAATGTTACCATTTCTTCCACAAGCCTACTTTACTATTTCATTTTATACTTAACAATTGCATCCTTACCTCATTTCTTAAAAACCATCACTACATCAGTGACTCCTCTGATTACCTGTTGGTTTGGGGAGTGACAGTGGGGTGTCCTCTGCAAGGAGATCATTTCATCTGCATTCCAAACACAGCTGCTGGATTGTTTCACCTGAAGTGATTCGTAACTTGGCATGACCAAGTGATGTAATCTTAATCCAGATCTTTTCGACTTCCTATTTAAAAACTAAACACTGACATAATACAAATTATTTTTGTGTTTCTTGAAGCGTTAACACAAAACAAACCTACACCTCTGTAAGTCACAGGCTGCTTTGTACGATTAACACTGATTGATTGATTTTGACATAGACACAATCAGAATGTAAAGCCCCAGGGTTTGCAATTAAGAATATTTTTGCAATAGCTACTGATATATATTCAGTGTTTAAAATATTTTTGCAATAGTCATAGTCTGCTTGGGAAGACTAGGTTAAAGTTATCTTCATGCACAAATGCTGTCTGAACCACTAATTTTAGTTGCCATTATTTTTAGCTACACAGCAAAACGGTCCTGTAACTGCTTGAAATATTAGTTACCAAAGTTTTCCAAATGAAAGAGAATTCTTAGTGCCTCTTGCAGACTATACCATGAACAGTTAAATAAAAATCCATCAAGTCACAAAATATCCAGGCACATAGAGTAACACTGTATTTACATGGAATTCAAATTCATACACTGAACCTGCCTATTTAAATCAAACATACCTTTAGAAGTTAAAATTAGCAATAGGATAATAAAAGTAATACCCCAATTGTTCTTCACCAGAGCCTTTTGTTGTTATCTTTAACCAAAATCACATTTTTCTCTCCCTTGTAAAATTGTTTCATTGTGTTTGGCAAGGTCTGTAGTATTGTGTACAGATAAATTGTAATAAGCTTTATGTATTTAAGTGTGAATGGCAGACTCAACAGAAAGAGTCTCAAGTATTTCCTTAGATAACTCTGCAATTTGAAGAAAGAAAAGCCACTATGGGTTCCACATTGGAGTACGTAGGCGAGCACTGAAAGATGACATTCTTCAAAGAGCAAACAGAACACGTTGGAGTACAGAGATGTCAAAAATATTTTTTTTTCACTTCTTTCATTTCTTTTCAAGTTCATAACTTTATTGAAAATATTTCCCCTATATGGAAATATTTTGACAATTTTTGATTGTAAACTTAAATCACTTGAAGTACTAAATTGTATTCAAAAGATTAGCTTTCTAGATTCAGTGTTTGAACTGCAAGTCAATATTCTTAATTAATTATGGAGATAGCTTACATTTTTCCAAGCAAATTACGTAATTAATCAAACTGAAAAGGAGGTGTATCCTATTGTAAAAATATCCATCATATAGAACAATTTCCATTGCTGTCAAGTCCTTTCAATATTTGATGAAGTAATTTTACCCCCTCTTTTCAGAAGACATTTCCTTTCATTATGTATCCTAAGACACTTTAACTAAAAACCCAAATCTGAATATTTCAATAAGGTTGTTTTATTATTCAGTAGATTCATGGAAATTTTACTAGGATGACAGAAAAAATTCCACACCATTCTGTCTCCACTAATACAGGTACATGGCTTCAGCTGGCAATATTACTGGGATTAGCATAGAATGATGAAATATTTAAAGGAATTTTTTTTTCTAAAATCTAATAAATCAAATGACTGCCAAATGTCATTAAAGTGATGGTCTCTGACTTGAATATGCTTTTCATATTCAAATTTGAAAAGAAAGAGATGAAAGCCTGGAAAGGTTACTCAGTTTCAACTAATAACCTCAAGCACTCTACATTCACATGCATAAAAAATGAAATTGGCTCTATTGTCTAATTTTACTTCAGAAACAACTCTTTTCTTCTTGCACTGAACAGATGTATTAGCATCTGTATTTAAAGGGATATGCTGAGTGGTTTTGTTCGCCCCAAAGTATTTAGCAGCTATGTCAGACTAGTTTGTACACAGACAGTAGCTTATGAATCAAGTCCAAATACAATATCCTGTATTATAAAGTATCCCTTTTACATATTTTAAAATTTGTTTGACATATTTAACACTTGTAATTGCATACAGTAGGCAAAGAATATTACATTTTTTCAAGGCTAATGGGGTAAATCCAGGTATTCCGCTTTCTAACTTATAAGGAAGCAAATGACTGAGCCATACTATTAGAAAATTGGAGAAAAAAAAATTAATTTGGAGCTTAATAGTCAAGACTATTTTGAGTTTTATTAATGTTAAATGTGAATATAGCACAATCAAAGTCTGATTAAAAAAGGTATTTACAAATAAAAAAATATAGAACTGCTTAAGAACAGCATAGCTAGCATGTCATATTTCACCACTAATACAAAACCATATTATGTAGCCATGCTGAAAATACATATAGCATCCAACACATGATAGGAATTAATTTTTAAACCATTTATTTTTCTGTGATGCAGAGTGAAATAGGTTCTTTAAATCTTTTCCTAAGTTTTTTTTTAAGCCTTGGTCTCATTTATTAGGTACTATTCAAGTGAACAATGGAGAGTTTGTCAATTACTGCCCACAAATCATTCTACTTTAATGGGAATAAAATGAGTCTTTACATTTAGAATTTAAAACAAGATATAATAAAAAATTTCTTCTAAGAGAGAGAATGGGCACATTTTAAAATAAAGACTATTAAATGCTTTCAAGGAATCTGAGAAACTGGATCGGTGCTTTCATTTCAGGTAAGGAAAACAAAACATGGGCAAGATACTTGGTCTATGTCATAATTCTTTCTTGACCATTTAATACCAATGCTGTAATTAATGCTACCCAGAGATTTGGAAGAATGAACTCCAACAAGCTTCAGGATCTGGGTAAGTACTAAATGCATTGGACATTTTGTACAAAATTTACATTGCAACTTTTCTGATCTTTCTGAGATTAAAAAACCCTTTCGTTAATTCAACAGTCAGTCCTGACTGCCACCTTCAAGAAGCTGTATATTCCATATTCTGATTTCCTTTTTGGTCACACTAAAAGGCTATGACTTGGATGTGAACAGTAAAATTCCAACTGACTCAAATGGTACACAATAGTATCCCACAGAAATAAGTGCTTTCTGCACAGAACAACGGAGTTGAAAATACTTTTCTTATAGGAACAATGTTCCTATTTTTTACATCCACAGTTTTAACTAATATATGGCCCCTGAAAAACTCAAAATAAAGGGAACTTCTAAATTGTAAGACCAACTTGAATCCTATCTTGAAAAACACTCAAAAGTATGTACACTTTACTCCTTAACAATTTCTATATTTATTTCCACTTATTTTCTTCCATTTCAGGCAGAGAGCATGTAAAATAAACTACAAGGTATTCTCTAACAACCACAATTAATCATCAATTTACTATCGACACTTCAACGATTACCGATATTACTTGATTGACAAATGTATTTATTCAATGACAAGTCCTCCTCTTCCTCATGAATTGCTAAATTCTTGTGATCATCATATTAACAAGGTCAGAACAGAGCCACAAAGGAATGCTATCACAGGAATGTCAATGGAACTCAAGTGTTCAGAGACACAAACATTTTTCATTAAGTAATTATGATTAACAGGCAACACAGAATCACATACACATAAAAATACATATTACAAAAAATTATTCTAGTTCTGTATGCAGTGACTTTTCACGTTAGGAACAGCATTTTCTACTTTTACCTTTTCCCCACAATGGTGTAGATGTGAGAACAGAAAGAGGGATGTGGAAATGCTCCCTGTTCCTTCTCCAAGTGGATGGGACTTCCTACAGTGCATGCACTTTGGACTCTCCCTAAGACCTGCGGCAAAGAGATGCCTCCTTGTTGAACAGCTCTTCTGGAGGTGAATCTACAGTGAAGGAGGGAAAGGCACATGTAATGTTTCCCTGCACACTGTCTTGCCATGTGCCAGGAGGAGAACACAATGGCCCAAGGTCAGCACCATAATAAGGTTTCATGCAACCCCCTCAGCTCTGCCTAGAGTTAAGAACACACTGAACTAAAAAAATCTATTTGTGACAAAGTATAGAACTCTGGTTGCTGCCATTTTATCCAGCACAGAGCCCAAATTCCTCATTTTTTGAGTGCATCCGTAGTGGAAGAAATATATCAAATTGCACATTTTTAATATAACTATTCTTTTTATTCAGAGTTTTATTATTTAATATTTTATAATGTATCCCTCCCTCATCATGACAGTATTGCGTAGGGACCATACAGACATTCAAAAACTAATAGAATTTGATTCTCAGAATACCCAGTGTGAAAAAATTATGCTTGGTAATATAGATAACACAACCAATCAAAATTAAAATTTAATTTCAAATGCTATCTTTTTTTTTTTTTAGACATCCAGTCAGAAAAATACTCCTTTCTACTTTAAAGTCACCATAATCAACTTCCATGTCGATAGGCTCTTATAAACAGTATCTCCAGCAAGCAACTAAGGGGCATTCTTATTCATGACCACAAAAAAATTACCAGCAGGGTTAAAAATTACTCTTGCTGATGCTTTTCCCATGGGCCCATGTATTCAGCCTCAAATCTGACTTTCTACTTAATTTCATATTCTAACTAATCAGTATTATTTGTTACCTAAAAAATAATGGGTTACCTAATGACTTAAGATTTGTTAGTTTTCAATAATTTTAAAAGCTGATGTTTGGGGTTTTTGGTATTACTTCACCCTCTTATTCCATTTCTTCCTTCATGAAGAATGACTTTCAGTACATGCTTCCAATTACGACTTCAAAGTATATTTGACAGGGGGTAGATGGAAGTTGTAAATCCATCATTTCAGCATAGTGCCTACTCAAACTTCAGTCATCTCAAACTTTATCATGGCAAAAGACAACTTATGTATTGTCTGGATTCTTTAAACTTTCTCTCTTTTACTTTAGTTCCTGGACTATAGTGACCATAACACAAACAATCACCTCAGTGATGGAGAATGGCAAATGCTCCTTTGTAATCTTAGACCCACTAGTATTCTTTGAAAGTACTAACTATAAAGTTTTAATAAGTTACTTGTACCTTATTGTGATAAGATGGTTCTGTTTTATTAAATATGCTGGTGCAGTACTTCCCCAGGTTCTTACAGAAGAAAGGACAGGACTAGGAGGATACAAAGGATTATTATTTCTGGCCCAGCAGAATCAAGCCAACTCAGTAACACGAGGTAATACTAAACCCCTAAAATTTTAGTTCTCTAAATTCTGACTAGATATTCACAAAATAAGCCAGTTTGAGGAAAACATTGAACACTCAACAATCTCCCTGAAGTACACCAAAGGCACTCAAGTCCTTCAGAAAATTAGTGTAAAGAGAAATCAAGTCAGCTAAAATTTAAAACTGCAATACAATGTCCAAATAATTTTCCTTTTTTCAGTGAATACAGATATCACATAGGAGGAAATGCGCTAGTCAAGCAGTTGTACAAAAAAAGCATAATAAAAAGTATCTATTGCTTTGGTGTATATAGGTTTTATGTTTTACATCTTCTCACATTTGCACAAACATGCTTCATTCACCAGGAGAACCGTGAGCAACTGGTATTGCTTTTTAATGGTGTTTAAGAGGGATTTTCATGTCAAAACTAATTAGACCTTGAGATCTTAATTTAGAGGTACAGGTAAATGACAGTTATCAAAAACCTGCTATTAGAGCAAGAGAATGCACTCACAGTATCTGCAACAAAAAAGACAGACCTATAGAAAATAACAGAACCAGCACTGAATAAATTGGCTTTGCCAGTAATTAGCTTATGGCACATTTTAAGACAACTTGGAAGCTGACAGCAGTAAATTTTATTGTGATAACTGAAAGCTGTATAATCTCCTGTAAGGATACAGTGTAGACATGGGGGTGAATGGGAGGAGGGGTTGGAATTTTTTTTTTAATATTTTTTTTTTAATATAAAGACCATGCCAAAGAAAATGCAAATTCCCAGTTTTGATGTCTATTTTGAGGATCTGAAACAAGGCTTTTAATCAATGTATTATACATCAAATTGATAATGTTAACTTCTGATTATTCAAATGTATGAAATATTCATAGAGAACTGTCCAAACTTTTACATTTCTCAGACTTCTTTTCTCTATTAATTATCATGCCTGGAAGCTTTTTAGTAAAAGCAGCAGCCATCAGCCTGACTGAACCTGACAAGCTAGCAAGGCCCAATTACACTGGCACTCTGTGGCACTTTGATGTACTGGAAACGAAAAGAGATAGGGGCAAATTGTATAGCACACTATGTTAATGACTTGATTTAATCCAGCCACTAAACTTTATGTAGCCTGTTAAAAAAGATGCTAACACTAATTATGCCACTTTGGAAAGGAAAGAAGGGGACAAGCATTTCATACCGACAAAGTGAAGCTCATAAATGTTGTAAATGAAATGAAACAAAATGAAGTAATCTATGATTAATCATACATCATAGACAAGAAGAAAAGAGAAAGAAGCAAGTGGTACAGCTAAGTACTGGAAAATCTGTTAGATACCCTTTATGATCAACATATCTAAGAAATAACCATGAACTGTCTAATTTGCAACATGCAAAAAAACCCCAGTATGATCTTAAATGGCTTAAACAGTTTGGCATACAACTCAGATTTATAGGATAATTAGCATAACGATCTCTAAAAATCACAAGTCTTATTTACAGTGTTTGATTACCAGCAGGATATTTATCTCAAAAGATAAAAGGCAGTGATTTTTAATCTTGAAAAAATACAAACTCAATAACAATTTTGACATGCTGTATTCTATAATTAACCCAAGAATTCAAATAAACCAAGGCATATTTTGAAAATCCAATTTGTATCAAACATGTTGTCTTAATAGTTTATAGCTTTTATTGTTTTATCTACCCTTTGTGAACATGCACTTTGTTACCAGAGGAGGAGATCAATGCAGAGAGGTAGAAATTGATGAACCTGAAATGAATCTACATACAAAAATCTCTCAGAAGTGTTCTAAAATACCTGTGATAAAATAAAATACAGGATGACTACAGAAGTATAGAACAATTTATTATAGTTTGACTTACTAGTGATGAGCAGCAGTCATTTTAGTTCTCAAAATTACAGGTGAAAATTTTTTAAACAATGCCATTCTTTCTTCCAAAGTACCTTTTGTATCTCTCTGAAGAATATACAGGCGATAGCATTACTGAATCCCTTCTACAGCTTAAAAAAGAAGGAGTAATATTTCCCACACAAAGAGTTGCTTCTTGTTGTTAGTTGCTTTGTAAGATGTCTCACGCCTTGAAAAAAAACATTTAAAAAAATCAAACTAGCTCTAGGATATCACATTGCAGAGCATTAAAAACCGTGAAGACTGATAGGATCTAACAGTACACCTCTGGTCTCTGAAAAGAAGGCTAAGACAGATGAGAAAAGTATTAACTGTTAGAGGTACTATCATCAATTTTAAGTACTGGGTTTGTATTTTTTAAGACAGTTCAGTCAATGTTAGATCTAAAAGTATGAAATACCTTATTTTTTCTTTTTTTTTTTTTTTAGAGAACTATCCTACTGTTCAAAGTAAATTTTCCAAATTTGTATTATACTATTTTGTATATATGACTTCATGCTAATTAACTGCTGGTTTTAAGAGTAAGGGGACATAATTACGATACAAACAGTTATAAAAAAAGAAGTACAACTGAAGTGACTGGAGACTGTGCATGTCTTGCCAAATAATTACCATGATCACTGACTCAGCTGTTTAATAATCAGGGATACTGGACTTGAAATAATACCATCATTGCTGTCAGTTTTTATTGATTCAACAGCATCCTCATCTTGTCTACCATCTTGATCTGAAAAAGAAACATTAAAAGAATCAATGTAGTCAATCTCCCCCCATATTGTTGTCCATCTGAGACTTGTTGAGGAACCTGATAACAATATATTTGCTTTTCTAATAAATGAAGAATAAGTGCCAGGTAAATCTTATCTTCCTGCAGAAGATTAACACTACAAATCAATGACCTTTTGAGTCATCTAAACTGTATTTGTTTTTGTTAAAAAAAAAAAAAAAAAGGCGTTTCCCAGATGAAAGTTAAGGATTGGAATGATCTAAGTCCTGTGATGAGCTGAGGTATGAACAACTGTTAGTTTTACATAAGAACATGGCCTGAGTTTTCCTCTGATTAACACCATGCACATGTAGAGAAGAATGTATCCTTTTTTTAAATAAAAAAGTAGTTCTGTATGCAGGTGGATTATTTTCTAGAGCATTCAGGGTTTTTTCTCTAAAGCAAATTACTTATAAGCACAACAGGGATTCAGCATCATGTTTTTCCAATTTTTCTAATGAATTCTTATGCAGAAGCTGCAAACAAATGAACACACAATTTTAGCTTGTGCATTTACTTGGTATTGTGGACTTAGTTTATTTCAATGATAAACAGTTTAAGCTCAGAGGTGGAACAGGATGACCCAGCTTTTATAATCTTTAAATAAATCTGCCTCTAACAACTTTATGTCACAAATATGATAAGACACACTACCCCTCTCATTGTCTGAAAGGATTTCTGATATCAGCATTGGCTGTTATCTGCAGACAAAAGGAGCATATTCATTAAAATAGTCTTTAGAACAGCATAGTTCTATGGGAGAATATAAAGACATTTAAAATAGAAGCCAGGTTTCCTTTAATATTTTATGAATCTAGGTCAGATACCAGATTTTTGCATTCAATTACAATACAGTTTCCATTTGGGAAGAAAATAACACCACCATATCCACCACCCAGCTTCAGCTATAAAGTACACCAGAATATAATTTCTGTCATGAAGCTTCTCATAATGAGGCAGCTCCCACTGCTAGTAAGAAATGCTTAAGAAAATGGAAAGAGACAGAGATTTATTAAGAAAATACAGTTACTTATTCATAAAAATGAATTCTACCTTCTGGTTCCAATTCTTCAGTTATTTTTGTCTCGTCTCCAGAAGTAATTGATGTTTGGTCAGCTAACTGCTCCTCTGACAGATGTGAGAGCTCCTCTTTCTCCTGTTGAATTTCTTCAGCCATCTCCTCCACCTTATCATCTGCTACCCTTTCTTGTTTAACCTCCCGTGCCACACGCTACATAAAAAGATAAACTTTCAGTCTTTATAACATCCCTTCAATAGTAAAAGTTACTGAAGTTCAGAACTTGAAGAGTTATGGCCCACATTCATTATACATAGCCTTTAAACAATGGTATTGCTTATGCAGCACAGGAAACAATGAGAAGTTGTCAACTGCAGTAACAAATAATTGATACAGTAAAAAGAAATTCTCTAACGATGTGTATTTGTGAAAACATAACTATTATAATCATTTGGTACCTGTCAACATATATACAGCCTCTTAGATTTCCAGATTCATTTATATTTCAGCTCTTTCACTTCTACAAGACTCAGTTAAAAAACAAAACAAAACCCAAACAAACCCACTCCACCAGCACATTATTGTTAACAATTTCATAACTTAAATTATACAGTACTTTCTGTTTCAAAAGCAAACTACTATCATATAAAAAAGAATCAGCCTTGCTACAACAGTATAAACATGCTATCTAAGGTAATATAACTTTCGTGCATAACTTACTCTAAAGTAATCTTATTATCTTCTTTACCTTTGAGTTCATTTACATTATCATAGCTCATCAATGGATACACCTTACAGGGTTATGTCCAGGATGGAAACTTATGATGACTGAATTAAGTCATCTTAAATCCCATTGAGCTCTCCTGGACTGTAGGAGCTGTGTTTGGTCACCTCCCCCTGCCTGGGACGCCTCTCAAGGCTCACAAACACTCAAACCTGAGATACATGACATCACTGACAACGAGGCCTGGGCTGATACCACCTCCCCCCTGCCCCACCATCCTCACATTCATCAAGGTGCAACCCTTGCTTGTTAGGAAACACAAAGGGATTTATGTGATTAATTCACTGAACCCCTGGTAGGTACCTTTTAGGTTGACAGGTATCTGTACACATGCAGAAATAGCTGCACACATCACTTCACCTGTGTTCACGTGAATTGATTAAAGTATGAATGTTACTCTGTCAAATCTATGGTTAAGTCACTGTTTATAACTGTAGTGAGCCCTATGGAATCACTCTGTAAATATTAAAATACTCAGTGTTTAAGTGTTTCTTGCACCCTTATTTTTGCATCCATACCTTGGCACCCTTATCCCCCTTTGCATTTCTGGCTTCAGTGTAAATCATTCCATATTGCTTCTAATTTGATCTTCCTTTGTACGTTTCACCATCAAACTCCGTAAAGTTGTATTTTCACAAATTCATATTAAACTCTGCTTTTGCCAAAACCTTTGACAGTGTTTCTTTAAGTGGCCAAACCACATGTTCACAATACATGTTTAGCTATATTCCAAAGTTATCCCGTTTCCTCATCATTTCCCTCTGCTATATAATGGTAATTTATAGATGGAGGGCAAAATAAACTCCATCCAATAAATAAAAGCCCAAGAAAAGATCGGACAATGCTCTCAGACTCATGGTGTGACTCTTGGGGTGTTCTACATAGGGTCAGGAGTTGGGTCCCTTCCAGCTCTGGATATTCTATGATTCTATACTGTGTGGGTGACCACACACTGCAACAGGTTGCCCAGAGAGGCTGTGGAGTCTCGCTCACTGAAAATATTCCAGAACTGTCTGGACACAATCCTGTGCCATGTGCTCTAGGATGACCCTGCTTGAGCAGGGAGGCTGGACCAGATGATCCCTCTGTTGTCCCTTCCAATCCAAACCATTCTGGGATTCCGTGAATATTTCTGCAATAACCTTTGGGGAACAGAAGTGACAGGAGGGTCCTGCCATTCAGTTTTCCCACACAGCTAGACTACTTTTCATGAGGACCCACTCAAACTCTCCATTTTTTTCCCAGTTATAATAACATCAGCACTGATCAGAGCACACTTGGATCGGGGTTGGTGCTGCATGCTGGCTGCTGCTTAGCTTGCTTCCCCTAATCGTCACTGTTTTTCCCTGTACATAAAAAGTAAATAAACAGTAAATATTAACCCAACAGAGGAAGAATAAATACAGCTGAAATTATATGAGCCTCATATAATCTGTATTGGGTCGGTTTTAGTACTTAACATTAGTCACAACTTTAGTGTATTGTAGAAATGTACACTTAAAAGGCAGCATGGAAATCACCACCAACAGAAACTATTGGCCAATTTTCTGGGCAATATTCCTGAACTCCAATAGGACCTCACATTTTGAGAAAACAGTATTTTTTTTCCAGAAATATACCTGCTTCTACTTTGATCTTGTCAAGGATTTCATTGTCTGCTATATCAGATTTGATAGCCATCTCTAGTTTAGCAATTTGCAGTTTCAGCTGCCGTTCCTTTGATTTCCACTGCCGTTCATGGGTCATACAGAAGACACTCCAATAAAACATATGGCATGTGAAAAACTTTCAGAAATCAGCTTCAACAGAAAATAATAAAGAAAAAAGCTTTTAGTGGCACAGAGACCACTGTCATCATGTCTTAGGAATTAAGTAAACACATGCTGGTCTGCTGCTGTTGAAACCAAGGCGCCTTTCTCAGGCTGCGGTTAAAAAACATGAAAGAGTTTGTGGGATGAGCAAAGGAACTGGCCTTAATTTAGAGCTCCAAAGTCAAAAAATTGGCAGCATGCAACATTTGTGGGACTAGAAAAGGAATTCAGATGCATATCCCAGAGTAATCCACAACTCCAAACCTCAGCAACTGACAACTAACAAAACCATTCTTTCCACATACAAAACCTCTTAATGTAGAGAACTGGGATCATCCACCTGATTTCTTTTAAATCTGTGAAACATGCAGAGCCTAAAGTCAGTTGCCTGTTCAAAGAAATGTTGACCACAAAGTGACAACAGTTTTCTCATACTGTAAAACAACAATTCTGATACTGATTAAGAAGCACATTTAAAGTAATCTTTCTCCTACTTTAAGAAATAAAAAACAGAGGTAGGCAAAGAAATTAGAATAACTATTTTGCCTGTAACACATTATTTACTTGTAAACTACCAATCTATGTGCAATAAGAGTTGCATGGACAAAGAGTTAGAACTGCTGAAACCACAATAAAATGCGTAACTCAGATTGAAACAAATTAAATACTTTATATAATTTACGGTATAATTCCCAGTAGGCAAAAAGAAAAAGCAATGCAAAATGAGCTTTCATATAAATTAGACAGTGAGTGCTATAGCCTTCATATTATTATTGCTCTATACTTGCATTTTTGTTTATTGGAAAAATGTCCATCTTAATCAAGCACAAAACAGTTTATTCACTTTTGTACTGTGTGAAAAATCAGAAATTGTAGGTTTCTTTAAAAAAAAAAAGGAATCAGTTCCTCAGCTCTTCCCTTTGGTGAAGCTAATCAGTTAACAAACATTATATTTACATATATAAATGTATTAAAAATTTTCTGACACATGCACTTAAGCAATGATTCTAATTCCTGCAGTAATATATGCTTCACTCTCCTTATATTTTGAAGATAATATGTAGAGAATAGAATGTACTGAACCCACCATCATTCCACAGAACCGCACAGGAACAGGAAACACAGTGTGTTCTCCAATTGCCTAAAGTTTGCTTGGCTCCCATAAGGGGAGCATAAATCTCATCAAAAAAAGAAATACCATCAGTTTTCACACTTCTGAAAACATTTTCAAGTTTCAATGACCACAATTCCTAGTTATATGTGCATTCAGCAGCTTTAGGTACAAATACTTCACATAAAGATGCACCTATAAGTTTCAGTTTTTCAGAAGACCATGGCAGAAAAATCATTAAGAGTTACCATGATGGTAGTTCAGAATGTAGATGTTTAAATGAAGAACATTTTAGACGACAGGTTTTATCCGAGCCTATATAATGCTAATGTTTATGTCAGTTTGAATTGAGTCCTCTTGTGTTGCTTTCTTCCTTTGAATTTTAAGATTACTTTTACTTGAATTCATGTGGAATTTCTTTCATATTTACTGTATTTCATTGGAGTTGGAGCCATCTGTGTAACTATAATGGTCAACCACATCTGGCACCATTTCCTTTGGAGGGAGTTTAAGCATTGCTAGATTTGCATTACAAGGTCATATGAAAACAATTCCTCCAAACCTTTTATCCAATCGAATTGTTTTCTTGGATACTGACTAAATAATAAGAGTCAACTGACAAATTCATACTTGTTCTTTGCAAACTTTTCAGATCCAGTTCTGCAGGCTTGGCTTTGGCAAAATTCCCATCAATGTCAAATAAATTTCCTAAAAATAACATTAGCAAAGAATGGGTTTGTGACTCTTTTCCTCTGTTAAAAAAATGAAAAAAAAAAAGAAAAATAAAATTAATTATCTGGCAACTGCAGACACTGGTCTATCCACTGCTAGCAATGGGTAAGCTGTGGTAAAGTTGCACTGTTCAAATAGACAATCGAAAATGCTGGTCATTAAAAGGTGGTTATAATGAAACAATCCATTTGTCTTTCCAACTTATCATTACAACATTGAATGATTCTTGACCACAACCTCACCTCTTCTGTCCTTCTCTTTGAAATGGTGACTGATTTCAGTTTGTTTTGAAGATGAAGGCATTTTTACTGCTCCTCTTTAAGATGTACATTCAGTTCATCACCTTTGCTAATAAAACGTCATGGAAGGTCTTCAAATTTTTTAGGCTATATAAAAAGGAAGGAAGGAAGGAATATTAAAAAAAAAATTAAATCACACCTAGTAGAATGTTACAACACTCTGTATTCCAGCAGTGGTCTCTCATGGCAGCATTTCACATATATTCTGAATGTGGTCAGCAGGAGACACTCTTGATCCAAGTAACTGAAAGCATCATCCTTTCCACATGGCCAGGAGAAGGTGGCACTCTTGGTGCTCGCATGAACATTAAACCCTCAGTTCAGTCATGATGAAAACAACCAAGAAATACATCTGTTCAGCAATTAAAAGATTTTGCTGTGGTTACAGTGGTTAGACATGCTGACCAAAAAACACTGCAGTAGCAAGCAAAAATGCATGTTGACCACAGTTATGCTAATCACAGAGGTTGCCACAGCTCTGTTAACCCTTAATTGTAGATATATAATTGTTTCATAATCCTAATACACTCAATTCCCTACTACTAGTATTTTAACAAGGGCCTTCTGATTTCTTTTACGTTTTCATTTACTTCAATGGATTATATTTAACCAATTGTAATATTAAATGGAGGATGCTGATAGAACCTCTATTTCTAGAATATTAGTTAATGTTACAGTGCCTACATTCCACAATGCTTTAATAAGGCCTTACTCATTAAGAATTTCAATGTAAATCACATTCAAAGTATGACTTGAAACAAAATAGCCCACAAGCCAATATTCTGTTAATTAAAATGACTGTATGAAAATTTGTGCACAATACATATGTGAGTATAGATCATGTTTAATGATTGTAGACAGAAGACATTTAGCTTCATTTTTTCGATATAATATTCCTACAAAGTATTTAATGAAGAAGTTGAATGTGAATCCTGTAGATTGTTTAGGTTCACTTGCAGTCTGAATATACAAGAAACAAACAAAAACCCCATGAAAAACCAATCACCAACCTGATCTTCAACCTTTCACATGTCATTTCTGAGTAAGGGAAATATTGTGGAGAATAGAAAATATTAGCAATCTTGTTTCAGAGAGTTAATGATGTATATTGCTCAACAATTTTTAACAATCTTCAGTGCTCTTCTTGCTCTGTGCTAGATCTGTGAACTCTTATTGCAGTAACTTTAAAAAATTACAACCTTCAAGAGCATTTTTACAAGTATTTTCATATGTGTCCATATTTTTTTCCTTATCAAAATTAAAAACCCTAAAGTCTGTAACCCTTCCAACTGTCCAAGTGAATTAATCTTTTCATCCATCTCTGTTTCCATTTTTTTCCTGAAGTTCTCTTCCATTTCAATAACTTGTGTCACTCCAACCACAATATAGGAAGAAAAACAAACAAACAAATTAACCACCTTGGCAAAGCTGCCTTTTATAGACTATTTCATCCTCACCTCTTTCCCTAATTTCTAAAAGAGCTGAAGATAAATCCAACAATCATATTTGTTCTACTGAAGTATCTCATTAAAAACACTAAAAACATTCTCCTGAAAAATCTCCTTGCTTCCACTTCATTCTATTCCTTCAGTATCTCTGCTACTCTCCTGAGCATTTTGAATTAGCTTTTCTCATTGCCTTTAAGGGGACTATGACTTCAACCTCACTATTTTTATATTCTTCCAAAACGCAATTTTTTACCTGGATCATGTTCTATATCTGAGTATTTTCCCATTATACCCAAACTGTTCTCTACCCTGCTGCCCTTGGAGCATTCCAAAACTCAGGTCATGACAACAATCGGGAGGACGATTTTAGTTTAATGTTTCTAGTCTGGAATTTTCTTTCTTTGCAAAACATGTCTTGATATTGTTGTCAGTTAGAAGTAACTCTTTTTAAAAAAATGGATCTGTACCTTGTAGAAATACTGCACGACTGAGTATCAACTGTTCTCCACTGCAGTTGTGAAACTGTTGTACCAATAGCTCAAAGGAATTGACCCTCTATAGTATTTTCCCTTGCAGTTCCACAGATTAACATATTTCATATTATAAATCATGAAATCCTGAAAACTCAGTCTGTAGTTAAAGCAAATAAATATACCAATGGGATAAAAAGTATACTCCTAGCAGTTTTCAGGGTCCCTAGTTCTTCTAAGCAGATTGCACAGTTCCTCTGTTAAACTGGCTATATTAAAATTCTACAAAAACCAAACTGTCCTGAAAATGTTTGGCAGGAAGCTCAACTTCAACATCATTAGATGGAGCGTGGTTTCACATTTTGGGCCAACTCAAGTTCAAAGATGAACATGGACAAATTATATGGGTTTCAATAGGTAGAAGCCAAAAGTACATGATCATTAATCAATAGACACAAAAAAAAAATCAAGATAAACAAAAAATACTAAAACCTGCTGTGTTGATAACTATGTTAAATGCCATTTAAAATAGAAATTTTAGATTTTACAGTTATTCACATTTAGTAGACATCTTTCGAACATTCAAATGACTGGAAATGAGACAACCATTGTAGCCATTCTCTTGTAACAGAAAAGAGACAGAACAATCACTCATCATTCTCAAAAATGCACCTTTCACTGTGAATATTAGAAATAATGTCTTCAAATACCAGTTTAAATCCTGTGCATGTGTTTCCATTCAGCTGCTGCCAGGAAAGAGGCACAAGCACTTGACGTTTGTTGTAAATTACCAAAAAGTGGCACATGATTTAAAATGGAACAGTTCACTTATCGCTTTCTACTTAAGAACACAAAAAGCCATGTGAAACCTGTCTCCCCTGGAAT